TTCTGATCGATTTCATTATATTTCCTAGCTTATCATAAATTGAACTTTTCTTGTTGAATAAAAAGATCTGTCTAACAAGCGCTCAACAGGGATTGGTCCAGAAGGGTCTAAGTTGTTTGTGTTTGGAAAAGTGAAATTCAATCTGCAGAATGTCTTAAATGCAAAAGGGACGAGAAATCTCACTGTGTGCATTTAAATGGTAAAATTCAGCGTAATGCAATTACTTTTCTGGTCTGAAAGCGGGTTTTCTCCCTCCATCCTGCAAATGGCCTAGTTTGGCGTCCTCTACTCCCAGTAATATAGGAGTATATCAATATTGTTGCAGTTTGTAGAAACAAAATATGAACTGATCCATGCCACTGGGCACCGGTTATATACACAGAAACACATATAATTAAGCTATTTTAATTTGGGACGCAAGAATTCCCAGATGAAATCAAAGAAGCACAATGTAAAGTTACGATGTCTTTGACCGAGAGTTGGACAACATCAGGTTTCTCATTTAGGTAGTATGGTACAATTGGAATTGTAATATAAAGTTCAATATGGGCATAATTTAACATGCCACTGCATAGAAAATGAAACTTCATTCCATCAATAACAGTCCCATTGAGCAATCCAAAGTGAAGAACAAATGGTTGCACTTATGTAAAGCAAAAAGTCTCAAGCTATTTCAAAAGGTCAGTTTTCTCCACATCTCTCTGTGTTTGAGTTGTAGCGTAAAGAGTTTGTCGTATGGTACGGTACAAAGGAAGCAGATCATTATAATTGAAAGCAAATTAAAGCACTATTAACGAGTAGTTAAATTTGTATAGAGTAAAGTTAGGCATGACCAATGTTAGCTGAATCCTATGGGAAAGCACCATTACATGACTTAACAAAAACAGAGATTTTTATCCACTACTGGCTTATTTCAAATTAACTAACTTCTAAGTTCTTGATCTACATTAAACATTAATACGACAAAAAAAACTTCATCATTAGTAAGAATGAAGCTAATTCATTAAAAGAAACAACAAACTTAAACTAACAAACAAACACTAAGATGCATTTGAAGGAAGAAACCAGCTGATATATGGGCATATTGTGTTCCATACTTTTATTGACAATTTACCCATCCAACCAACAAGTAAAATTACTCATACGCCCACTGGTGAAGGTGTGTATAAGGGACGAAGATGCACTGTTCCTAAGGGTACTCTCTGTCCCTTTAAAGATGTTAGGATAGAATTATATATGACTTGATGATTCCAGTACAAAATACTGACCTGACATAATCCTTCTTTGCGGAGGAGAAAAAGAGATTTGTGAAGCCTTCAATAGCTTCCATACTGGTTGGATCTCCAATAGCAGTAAGTTCACAGGTAGCAAGATGATCAGCTAAATAACCCAAATAAGGTTTATCTGGAGTGAACTGACCTTTTTGCTCCTTGGGGAGATCATAGTACTCCTCCAGTGCAAGGTGAAAAGAATTCTTGATTTCTGAAGAGATCTTGTCATAAGTTGCCAGAAAAATTCCATGATTCTCAAGTGCATTCTTCACTTGTTTGCTTGTGGATATCCAAATATTGGTGCCAGGTCTCAAGTTCTGATTGCTAAAATCTATGAGAGGAAGATTTGATGGAGCTAATTGGGAATCCATAACTATTTTGTTGACCTCTGTATCTCAGTCGTAGCAGGCTTAAAGGGCTGAAGCATACTTTTAAAATGGGCAAATTACTCTTTACCCCCTGTAATTTAGTATTTTTTTACATAACCCTCTATGGTTTCAAAAACTGTACATATCCCTCTCATTGTTTGAATTAAAATATCAAAATGACGGAAATGATCATTCGTAATACAGTAACCTAAAATGTCAAAAATACCCTTATGTAAAGTTGAAAATTATTTATTAACTAAGGGAGGTTATGTATATATTTTAAAAACCATAAAGGGGTTATATGGTAAAGTATTAAACCATAAGGAAGTTATATGATAAAACATAAAATCATACGAGATTAGTGTGTCATGTATTTATAAGGGTAATTTTGACATTTTTAAAGGTTCCATTACGAATGATCATTTTCGTCATTTTGATACTTTAATTCAAATTATGATAGGGGTTATGTATCTTTTGAAACCATATGGGAGTTATGTAAAAAAATACTAAACCACAAGTGGGTAAAGTGTAATTTGCCCTTTTTAAAATATGGCTTTAACTTTTAGGGATAATTTCATAAACCTATCCTGAAGTTTCCAATAATTTCACTTGGCTCTCCTGAGGTTTACATAATTATAAGGACCTCCCTTGGTGTAATAAAAGACAACAATGTCCTTCATTAATTGTCAACTTATTGAAAAACTTAATAAAAAAATTAAAGCTCTTTCATCTATTATCAGTCAATAATTCAAACTATAATCTTTCCCATTTATTTTTTTATCCTCTTCCTCCTACGTCTATTTCCTTCCAAACACATTTATTTATTATTATTGATCAAATGTGTATTAATGCTAGTAACAAGGCCATCATACATTCCAGCCACTAGTGCTTACCTATTTTGATGTTTATTCCCAACTCTCTCTTTTTTATTACTATTAAATAGCTTCTTTGCACACATTTTTGTTTCCAATTTTTGATGGATATTAGCAAATTGAAATTGTCAAATGATAGTTGAGTGATGATTTCATTATATAACTAGATGGAGATGAAGATAATGGCAGTATAAAAAATAAGGAATTAAGGATAAAAAGTGAAATATGGACTAAATAAAGATTATACTATTATGGTTGTTATGAAGAAAAAGTGTTTCTCGTATATTTACACCTTCATTGTATTTCTGTTTTTGATTTGCAATTATTAATGATGTTGTTCTTATAGAAAGAATTTGATTGATTTTGAACTCTATGCAGATGGAGTATATTGAATATTGATATTAGTAATGATGGTTTAGACTATTTTATATTAGATATGTGGCAGCTGTAGAATTGAAATTTAGATATATTGATGAATATTGCTTTGTATTAAGCAAAATTTGATATTGATATGAGATTGTAAGTAAGCTTTTAGGTATTTGATGCGGTATTTTGTAGTTGATAGGATTGTTTGCATTGGACATTTTTAGGTAAAATAAGGACATTAGAACAAAGGTAAGTGTTTACTTAGTCATGATTTGGATATTGATAGGGAGACAATGGTGATAGCAAGTAACGATGAATAAAATAGAGACGGTGAACCCTTTTTTCCTTTTTTTTTATTGTGAATTATAACTCAAGGGCATTATAGGATTTTTAAGAAAAAGTCTAGCCTTTTGGACTTAAAATGTTACTTAAACAATGAAAATAGAGGAGGTGTGTGTAATTTTCAAAACTTGAGGGGTGTTTTCTATAATTATTAAAAACCTCAGGGGAGGTATGTGAAATTATCCCTAACTTTTAAGAACTAATTTTTGGAGAGTAAAGATAATTGGAATAGTTTTAGAAACTTCCCCTGAAGTATATGCTAATATTACTTGGCCCTCTTGAAGTTTCAAAAACATCATTTACCTCTCTATGTCAGGAGATGAGACCACTAATCACTATTACAACATACAACTTGAAAAAAAATTGTCTTCGCCATTATTACACTTCTTCAAGCAAACAAATAGAGAAGAGAAAAATAAAAAATGCTAAAATAAAATGGCCATTTTAACAAATTTTTTTGCACTTAAACCATCCCATTTATTTAATCTTTCTACACCAACCGTATATCAAATTATTCGTGCTATTCTAATAATTATTTAAGCAAATAAAATCTAGAAGAAAATTTTCGACTTGAACACAATTTTCTACTTGTATGACGTAAATAAGCTAAGTTTGAACTAGCTTGAGTTCAAAAAACTCAAATATGTTTGAATATATTATACAACTCTGAAATTTAAAAAAAAAAATGATCAATTTAATTTGCCTATTGAATGAAAAAATCTTCACCAAATATAAGAAGATTCCCAATATTTAAACAAAATGAAATCCTAAACAATAGAGATGTGATGAATTTACATAATTAATAAGAAAAATTAGTAATACTAGCTTGAATAAATGTAGATGAATTTAAACGAACTAATTGCCAGTCAAGCCAAGCTCAACTCGTTTAGGAAATGGGCCTAAATTGTTGTATCAAATTGTTATGAGCCATATACCATAAATGACTATTTAAAATCAACTTTTCCCTTTTTTTTCTACATTTTTATGTCATGCCCTCCTACGCCTAAATTGTTGTATCAAATTGTTATGAGCCCTTCATGCATAATTTGGGAGTAAAATAGTTTAGCATTTGATATGGATCTTTTTAGAGTTTGGCCGACTTTGTCAAAATTATAACTCAAAATAGGGGAGGCAAGATAATAGCTTAAACTTCAGGCTGCAAAATGAAATTGTTAGAAACCCCAAGAGAGGTTTTTTTTTTTTTTGGGTTAAATTATCCATTTCGAAAATTACATTTAACTTCTTGAAATTTTATATTATGTGACTTCTGTCTATAACCTTTCCATTACAACATATGTATGTCTGTCTATTCTATGCACATACGAGCAAACTGTACACCCATATTTACACATACAGAAACGTGTAAGTAGATTATTTTCTCAGTTCCAGCAGGATTTAAGGCTACAAGGAACCTTAAGGTTCTTGAATATGCTCTTTGAGGTTATTGAAGTATTACTAAAGAAATTACTTGTTATACAACATCTGGCAAGTTTACATATCATGTTTAATTTTCCCGATGAAAAATGTTGATTTAGTTGTGATAAAATGCTGTTGGATTGACATCTTGAACTATGCGTGTCATTTCTCCCATCACATTAAAACTACTCCTACAATTTTCCAAAAAGAAAAGGTAAAACTAGAGAAGATTAGGTACTAATAGATAAACTAATTTGATCCAAACTGAACATTCTTTTATTACTATTCCAATTTTGATTTTCAATTACAAACCATAAGTGCCCAATTCATTAAGCACTCTGAAGCATAATTAAGAATTGGAAATCAGAAACGTGTATCCTTTAAAATATATATGTAGTTCTTGAACACCAATGTGTATCATGTAAATTAGGTGATGCAGCCACCACCAGCACTTCAAGAGGGACAAATGGTGTCCTTAAGTGCCAAAAGGACTTTGAGCTTATCTTCAGTTACGATCACCCTTTCTGTGTAGGCCAAAGAAACCAAATCAAGATTGTCAAATGGCTTAAACAGTAAAGGGTGTTGCTCATCGACTAGCTCTTCTGGTGGTTCCACTATCCCTTTCTTGTAGGCGAACAACAAAATCGAGTATCTTGGCTCTTCTGATGCCATCATGACTCGATGATGAATGGAATGTATCCTGCCATTGCTCCATGCCTGTGGAAAGAAATATTTGATCATAATCTTTCTTATCTTGGAAAGGATTATTAATTAAAGATTAACTTTTTGTGCACCGACGATGTAGTTAATTTTTAAACATACATCTACACACGTCACTTGTTACATAATTACGAGTTGTGGGCTCTCAAGAGACTTTATTTCTACGCATACCATTACAAAATATTTGCAGCACAATTGCGTGTAACAAGTAGATGAGAACCAAAGGATAAATGTCATAAAGTTAAACTTAGATCATCCATTGAAAACTTTACAGTAATTCAACTTGGCAATTCAAGGTAAGGATAGAATATATGATGGAATTCCGTAATCTCAACTGTTAATTCTACGGTTTCCATGGAGTACTTTTCTTCATTTGATAGTAGGTGGTGTTGCATAAACACTATGTAATTAGACTCTTGTAATCTTTAATTGGCTAATATTCCTCCCATTATTTGGTTTTGCATTGTGTGAAAGTCAGGGAAGTAGCAAGAAACCATTTCACTGCTTTTGGATCTTCAAAATTCAAGACTCAATATTTTACACTTGTCATATTTGATTTTTTTAACCACTGAATTCCCTCCAAATTTCAGATCTCGAGATTATATTTACTGTCTATTTTTAGTCACTCAGACATTTTCAAAAGAGTAACATTTTTCATATAGACAGTGTAAGGAATGTCATTCAGCATATAAGGATCCTGTTAGCGAGCGAAATTGGGCAGTTGCGCCACATTTATAGAGAGGCCAATGCGGTTGCTGATGCTCTGGCGGGCCTCTCGGGTAGGGGTCAAGGAATGTTCGACTCCTTGACCAAATTGCCTCAACATATTCAAGTATTGGTTAACTTGGACAATACCATCTATGCAGGAATTCGACGTGTGCATGTAAGGGAGTAGTACTCTCAATTTTCAACTTTCCTCAGTTAAAAAAAAAAAAAGTCAAACGAATTATCTACTTAGATACACTCTCTCATGTAAGGAAAATACTCATCAAGTAATTTTGCATTAGGAAAATACTCATCGATGAAAGAAATGGCCTACCATCAATGCATCACCAGCAACAACAGCGAAGGACGAGGGAGGAAAATCAACTGGAATCCAACTTCCATCATTGGACCTGACCTCCAAACCATTGACTTGATTTTGATGAAGTATGGTCATGAAACTCAAGTCTGTATGCATGGGCAACCAAACCTACATATTTCTCAGTGAACTTGGTTGCTGCTCTGTACTTGTTGACTCGACACACATAAGCTATTGATTCTCTGAAAGATTCATAGTATTTCTCAACCCCATAGCTTTCAAATACCATTCTGATTATCACCTCATGCAGTTCTGCCACTTGCTTTGAGTAGGATTGCATGATTTCACTGATCATTAAGCTCAATAAACAAAATAGAAAAGAGGAAAAAAGGAACAATTACAATCATATTTACTTATACATGAGAAGGATCAAAACTGCAGGGTTATATCTATAACATTTCTGATAACCAATTTTTCTTAGTGTAATAAAAGAATTAGTTTCTGACAAGCTTTTGTTACTGTAGAAAAAGATTTGTGTAAGGATTGCTCAATAGGCATTGGCCAAGAAGGGCCTAAGGTGTCTGTGTTTCCAAAAGTGAAATTCAATCCACCAAATTCATATATGCAAAGGGACGAGAAATGTAAATATGTGCATCTAAATGGTGAATTGAGCCGTAATTTAAGTCACCTATTTGGTTTGGAGGTTGGTTCTCTCCCTCCAACCCCCAAATGAAAAGTTATGAATGATTCTACTTTCATAAATTGTTTTATCTCGAAAAGTTAATGAATTAGTTGTGTAGTAAAAGCTAAACATGCTAAAATCAGCATATAGGAATATTTTTGTGGTATATTGGTAAATAGTGTAAAATGTGGATCTTATAGTCAAAATTGAATACCCAATTAGCAAGAAAAGTCCGTCTTCTGTGGTGAACAGCGGTCCCTATAGTTTTGACTTTTGCAGAAGCTTAGCCAAAAAAACAACTTTATCCCATTTAGATTGCTATTTTTAGGAGTTTTGTTAAAAAAACATACTGTAACAATTTGATATATATAAAATAAAAAAATAACTGAAAAATGTGTTTAAAAAACGTAAAATTTTTCTACAAAAAATCACGATCCAAACAAGGTTCTTAGAATAACGATTTTTCTTCAAAGTTGATTAAAAAAAAACTCAGCTATGAACAGGAAAGGCTTAAGAAAAGGCCTCAAATGTGTTATACAAAAGCAAATAAAAAAGCTGGGATTTCCCCATATCACCTGCTTTTTTAAGCTGGGATTTCCCCATATCACCTGCTTTTTTTGGAGCAGCAAGTTCCGTTCTGGTCATGAATCTTTTGAGTCAATTTTAAGGAATTGGTTAGGAGTGGCAATAGGATCAAAAACGGATTGACAGGTCGAGGCAAAACTCAGATATAACAGGAGACCTACTGATTCGAACACAACTTGCCAACCTGCGTGGGTCAACATGTCTGACCTGAACACAAAATTTTCAGATTGGCAAGTCCGCCGAATGATCCGAAATATAATTCCAATTTACTAATCTACTGCTATAATTTCTAACAAAACTAATTCCACACAAGACTACTTACATAATCAAATAATAAAGACCATAATAAAACAATCCCAAGTTAGATCTAAAGTAAATTAAGACACCTTAAGAGTAGAAAATAATGTAACACTTCATCTATCCAAAAATAACAACTCCAACTTCACACAAGTCAAACAAATTCAATTAGAACAATCCAAACAAAAGGTAGCTAGCCAAATACAAGTTTAAAGTCAATTCTTACAATCCACATGAAACAGATAAAAAAACCTATTTAGATAATTTTTTTATATGTTTATTAACTTATTTTTATTTCCTAAACGAGATAATGGGTCAACCCATTTCTGACCTGAATTTGACTTGTTTTCTTTTTAGGTTCATCGGACCACCTCTAGAGTCGGCTGATATATATATATATATATATATATATATATATATATATATATATATATATATATATATATATATAGTACATATAAGTAAAATAACTAGATCATGATCAAGGACAAATGCTAACCTGACATAATCCTTCCTTCCGGAGGAGCAAAAGAGATTAATGAAGCCATCAAAGGCTTCCTCACTAGTTGGATCTTCAATAGAAGTAGTTTCAAACGAGGGAAATTCATCAGCAGCTTTCCCCAAATAACCCGAATAAGGTTTATCTGAAGTGAACTGACATTTTTTCTCCGTGGGGAGACCATAGAACTCCTTTTACTGCTTGGTAAAAACCATTCTTGACTTCTGAAGAAATTTTGTCATGAGTTACAAGAAAAATCCCATGATTCTCAAGTGAACACTTCACTTGCTTGCTTGTGGAGATCCAAATACTGGTCCCAGGTTTCAAGTTTTCACTGCTAAAATTATGAGAGGCGGATTTGATGGAGCTAATTGGGAGTCCATGACTATGTTGTTGAGCTCTGGAATAAAAAAAACTCGGTTGTAACAGATTTAAAGCTACAAAGAAGCTCAAGATTGGTGGATAGGTTCTTCAACGTACAAGAATGGGAAGGAAGATGCCGGCCTTAAAATGATCAGGAGCAGGTCAACATTTAGCCAGTTCGCTTTTGCTGCCAAACAGAACAAGCCAAGAGAAAAATAAGTAAATTGTTCGAGTGTAGCTAAAAAATTCTTGCAGAGTATACAAGTGACAAGTCACACTATCATATGGAGTATTAACTAGTACTAAATAATTTCATTTATTAAAAGGTTAAAATAGATATTCTTGTCTAACGAGTCATTTGTATTTACAGTAATATTCAAATTTATGAAGTTGGTTAAGCATCAACATCATAATTGTTAGGGTAAATTATCAATAATATCATGAGATTTTGCATATTAATACATGACGTCTCTAACGTTTCAAAATATTTACACAATTCCTCTCTTATTTAAAGCAAAATGAACCAGTGATGAAAAGTACTTCCGGTTATGGCAATTATCCAAATGCACTCCAAAAATATATTTGGATTCGCTGACTTCTTCAAATTAAAACTCATTTGACGCTTAGTTTTATTCATTTTTGCTTTTGCATTTTCAAACCCTTTTTTGAAGTCAAATGTGTTATTCTAGTTTCTTTGAGCCTAAATGTTTCCAAGCATCAAGACTAACATATTTATTTCTCTTCACCCCTGCCAAAAATAATTTTTGACGTTAAAATTTTCCCTTTTTTCTACTATTTCAAGTCATACCCTTTTCAATTTAAATTGTTATATCACTTTTTTTCATGAGCTATTCAAGGATAATTTAGCAATAAAAATTGCTTTCAGCATTTTATATAGATACTTCAATTTACTAACTTTTTAAAATTTAAACTCGAAATTGGGGAGACAGTATAATATTATAAACTTCAGGGCTAGCAAAACCTCAAATGTTGAAATGATCCCTTTTTAAAATTACATTTGCCTTCTTCAAATTTCACATCATGTGACTTAGTCTATAACCTTTCCAACAACATTGATTTCTCTTAAACTTTCAAGTTGGACCATTACTCTTTGTGTGTGTTTGTGTGTGTGTGTGTTAGTAAATTATTGTACATAAGCATGGACGTATAAAATTGTACCTTAAACAGTCTTCTTCCCAGAGGACAAAAGAGATTTGTGAAACCTTCTGCAGCTTGTATACTAGTTGGATCTCCAATGGCTGTAAGTTCAAGAATAGGAAGTTGATCATCACGACTGGCTTTTCTTCTCTTTGGGGAGCTCATAAAACTCCTTTATTGCTAGGCAAAAATCATCCTTGACTGCTGAAGAAATTTTGTCATAAATTGCCAGAAAAAACCCATGATTGTCAAGTGCATTCTTCACTTGCTAGCTTGTAGATAGCCAAATACTTGTGCCAAAAAAAAAAAAAAAACTTTGTGCCAGGATTTAAGTTTTCACTGCTAAGACCTACGTGAGGAAAAGATTTGATGGAGTTTGGGAGTCCATCACTTTGACCTTGAGCCTTGCATCTCAGTTGTAGCATGAAGGCTACAATGAACCTCAAAGTTATTGAAGTATTGATAAAGTATATACTTGTTAAATAGATTAATTTTTCCAATGAAAAAAGTTGAATTAGTTATGTTGTCACCAACTGAATAAAATGCTGCAGGACATTTTGAACTATGTTCGTATGCTCCCATCAAATTAAAACTGCATTTTCCCCAAAAAGAAAAGGAAGAGATTGAAATGATCCCCATTCCACACAACTAGACAACAGTACGTACTAACAGAAATACTAATTTGATTCAAACCATTAGAACTGAACAATCTTTTACTACTATTACAATTTCGATCCTCAATTAAAAAACACTTTAAGATCGACAAATGGTTTCCTTAATTGCCACACAGGACTATGAGTTTATCTTCAATTACGTTCCGTTCAACCTTTTTGTGAAGACCACAGAAGCCAACTCAAAATGATCAAATGGCTTAAACAATAAAGGATGTTGCTCATCAACTAGCTGTTTTGGTGCTTCCACTATCCCTTTCTTGTAGGAAAACTGTTGGATCCTTAATTTGACGTTGGATTTATATGTGAATAATTATGTTGCAGACAGTCAAATAAGTTTAAATTCAATTAAAGTGATCAATTATAGTTTAGCTTTATTGTATCCAATAGGATGTGGGACTTTAATGTATAGAAACTTAAGGATAATTTCTATTTTTATGATGAGATGAAATAAGAATCCAAAAGATAATATGAAAGTTGTCTATAAATAGAGTTATGATCACCGAATCATACGTATTTTTATTTTTGTATTTTTTTTTAGTATCACAAAATACTTCTTCTCATCGTCAGAAATATACCAGATCGTCATCCCAAGAGCTCTCTCAAGGGATTAGCGGATAAGTGTTGACTTGGAAGGCCATCCCAAAATCTCGAAGAATTCAAGTACCAGTTAGTCAACATGAATCCAGGTTGAATCCATGTATGCTTCTGCAATTTTACTGTTAATTTATTTCTTAATAATCACTATAAAGATTTTAGATTCAATAGGTGATGGTTTTCACCAAAAGTCAATATAAACAACCACTAACAAAAACAATCCAATCCACTGCCTTGTCTCTTCTGATGACATTATTGTTAGTTTGTTACTCGATGAACACTACAACTTATCCGGCCATTGCTCCGCGCCTGTGGAAAGAATTATGACATTATCTTTCTTATCTTAGAAAGAGTATAACATTCATCCACACCCATAAACTCCGGTCTCTGGCTAGTACCTTCAAACGGAGAAAGAGCACCGACAGTCCCAAATCAAGTTTGATGTCGTCTACGGCTCAATCTTCTCATAAAAGGTTATTAGGCAGCAAGGTGAAACGTCCTGAAAATTTTTCCCTCTCTGATGATGTTGATATGGAGGATGTTTCTCTTTCCAAGAAATCTAAGACAGCTGTTCAACCGCATCACACGGTATATCAATTGCAGAGGCTGGTCACCAGCCCCGCCAAGAATCAAGAGTCTTTTAAGTTGGAACTGTCGGGGGTTGAAAAACCTCCGCACAGTTCATGAACTCCGGAGTTTTATTCGGAGGGAAAGACTTTCAATTATTTTTTTGATAGAAACTAAGTGTTCTAGTAGATTTGTGGAGAAATTGAAGCAGCAAATTGGATGGTTTGGTATTGGTGTGGATGCGCAGGGCACTTCTGGTGGGTTAGCTCTCCTGTGGAAAAAAGATCTTGACATATCATTGAACCGCTTTGCAAGTAATTTTATTGATGCCAATGTTCATATGCCAAATTACACATGGCGTTTCACTGGCTTCTATGGACATCCTGATGCTTCAAAGCGAAAATATTCCTAGGATTCTCTCCGACAACTAAGCACACAATCTCGGCTCCCCTGGCTTTGTATTGGTGATTATAATGAAGTCCTTAGCCAAAACGAATTTCAAGGTTCTGGTCCACGAAATAACTGGCAAATCATGAATTTTCGTCAGGCCTTAATGGATAGTAATCTGCATGATGTGGGCTATCAAGGTTTCACTTATACATGGTGCCATAGTCGGACATATCGAAATACGATTAGAGCGAGACTTGATCGCGCTTGTGCAACTCAAGATTTTGTGGACTTATTCCCTGATTCAAAACTCAAGCATGTGCACTCTATATTCTCTGATCATTTGCCTCTAGTTTTTAGCTTTGAGAATTTCATTAAATCTTCTAAGACTACAAATGAGGTGAAGAAATTTAAACATTTTATGGTCGAAGCCATGTGGATAAAGGCGGATGATTGTGAAAACGTAATTCGACAATCTTGGGAAAGTACATCTGCGGATAATGCTTGTGTTAATTTGTTAAAGAAAACTGATGAATGTCGAATGGGTCTTTTACAATGGAGCAAATCAAAATTTGGTAATGTTTGTTCTGTAGCAGACGACCTAAGGAAAAAGATTGCTAAGCTGCAGCAAGGGAC